TTGTTCAAGATTCTCCTTTATTGAAAAGCCTGATGAAATAACTAATGACATTCTTTGAATTCCTGTGAATTCTTTATATTAGAGAATGTTCAGTCATTTGCCAAATTGCATTTGTCTCTGATTTTGAACATCCTTGCCTGATTCCAGAGCCTAAATTAGTCTGGGTTAAAAAATATAATCCTTTTTCTGACTCCCCAGGTCATTTTCAAATTAGCCCCCAACTTATTTTGTCCTCAGTGTTTTGTTCTCTCCCACCCTCCCTTCTACCTCCCCTCTCTTTTCAACCACCCCCCCCAGCTTGCTTGTGCTCTCAGAAATATTTTTGTACTGTGCACGCCCTCCAGTAAGATCGGGATCTCACAGGGCAGGCAGTTGCTGCCCTGAGCTAGAGCCATCCTGTTACTAGCGGGAGGTTGAGCATCAGTTTGCTAATGCTTTAGCTCACCGGCTACCCTTGCAAAGAATAATTTAAAAGCTCCTTTTTAGCTTTGTTTAAGAAGGGTAGGAATGAAGTACTTGTTGATATCTGTTGATTTTGGAGGGATGTACTTTTAGGGGACAAGATGGCCTTTGGTTGGGTATGTTAGACCATAACTATTCACATTATACATTAACGATATGGATGAAGGAACTGAGGGCATTGTTGCTAAGTTTGCAGATGACACAAAGATAGGTGGAGGGACAGGTAGTGTTGAGGAAGCAGGGAAGCTGCAGAAGGACTTGGACGTGCTAGGAGAATGGACAGAGAGGTGTCAGATGGAACACGTTGTGGGAAAGTATGAGGTTATGCACTTCTTTAGAAAATAGTCCACGCCTCTTAAGTGGGGAGAGGCTTTAGAAATCTTGAGCACCAAGGGACTTGGGAGTCCTAGAATAGGATTTGCTTAGGGTTAACATGCACATTCAGTTTACCATTACAGAGGCAAGTGCAATGTAGCATTCTTCTCAAGGGCTAGAGTACAAGAGCAGAACCTGTATTGCTGAGACTTTATAAGGCTCTGGAACATTTGAAATATTGTCAACAGGTATTTTGGCCCCTGTCTAAGGAACGATGTGCTGATGTTGAAAGGGGTTCAGAGGAGGTTTACAAGAATGATTCTAGGGATGAAGGGCTATTTATGAGGAATAGTTGTAGACTCTAGGTCAATACTTGATGAAGTTTAGAAGGATGAGGAGGGGGGATCTGATTGATTGAAATTGACAGAATACTGAGGAGACTGGATAGAGTGGGAATGAAGAAGATGTTTCTACTAGTAGGAGAGACGAGGACCAAGGGCACAGCATCAGAGTGAAGAGACGAGCCTTTAGAACAGAGATGAAGCAGAGTTTTTTCGGCCAGAGGGTGGTTAATGTGAGTAACTCATTGCTGTAGAAGGCTGTGGAAGCCAAGTCATTGCATGTCTTAAGACTGAGATAAATTCTTGATTAGTAAGGGGTCCGGGGTTACAGAGAGAAGGCAGGAAAATGGGGTCAAGAAACATATCAACCATGATTAAATAGCAGAGCAGACTCAAGGGGCTGAAGGGCCTAATTCTGCTCCTATATCTTATGGTATTTGTTGAAAGAGCAGAGAATAAAGAGAGTTTGTGCAGAGAATTATCTAAAGCCAATATCTGTAGAATGTAACTCTTTGCTTTAAAAGCAATCCAAAGAATGGCATTGTTGTCAGCTATTGCTCAGTTCATAGTATCTTCACCTCCTGAGTATTAAGCCAGTGCTTTCCAAATGTTTTCCCCACTTTGAGGTTTGAAAGTTTTCACATTTCATCTGAGAACAGACTGGGGGTTGCCCGTTAGAGCAGGGGTGTGGCTTTTGTAACTTAGGCCAAATCCGCAGCAGCCATTATGGTTCTGATGCTGCAACCCCAAATGTTACAGCTTGTAAACCCACACTGGGTCCTGACCCCAACTTTGTGGAAACTCTGTACTAAGGTACTATAGGATTTGAACATTAAGGGTACAGTGCACTGTTCGAGAAATCATCCTTCAGATGAAAACTCAAACTGAAGTCCTATCTCCCTTTTCAGGAGGATGTACAAGTTCCTTGGGTATATTCTGGGAGAAGAGCAGGGAAGTTGCCCTGTCCAGCATTTACGCCTCCGCTTCCAAAATACATAGAACCAAAGAGCTGTACGGCACTGAAACAGACCCTTTGGTCCAACTCATTCATGCTGACCAGATATCCTAAATAAATCTAGTCCCATTTGCTAGCATTTGGCCCACATTCCTCTAAACGCTTCCTATTCACATACCCATCTAGATGCCTTTTTTAAATTTTATAATTGTACCAGACTCCTCCACTTCCTCTGGCAACTCATTCCATACACGCACCACCTTCTGTATGAAAACGTTGCCCCTCAAGTCCCTTTTAAATCTTTTACCCTTTCACCTTAAACCTATGCCCTCTAGTTTTGCACTCCCTTATTGTGGGGCAAAGACCTTGATTATTCACACTATACATGCCCCTCATGATTTTATAAATTTCTATATGGTCAGCCCTCAGCCTCTGACGATCCAGGGGGAAAAAAAACCCAGCCTATTCAGCCTCTCCCTGTAGCTCAAACCCTCCGACCCTGCAACAGCCTTTTAAATCTTTACTGAGCCCTTTCAAGCTTCACAACATCCTTGTGACCAGAATTGAATGCAGTATTCCAAAAGTGGCCTCACCCATGTCCTGTACAGTCACAACATGACCTCCCAACTCTTTTATACTCAATGCACTGACCAATAAAGGTAAGTGTACCAAACACTGTCGTTACTATTCTGTCTACCTGTGACTCAACTTTCAATGAACTATGACCCTGCACTCCAAGGTCTCTTTGTTCAGCAACACTCCCCAGGACCTCACCGTTAAGTGTATAAGTCCTGCCCTGATTTGCCTTTCCAAAATGCAGCACCTCACATTTATCTGAATTAAACTCCATCTGCCAGTCCTTGGCCCATTGGTCCATCTGATCAAGGTCCCACTGTACTCTGAGGTAACCTTCCTCACTGTCCACTACACCACCAATTTTGGTGTCATCTGAAAACTTATTAATCACACCGCCTATTTTCACACTGAAATCATGATTTAATCATTATCAAGCTGATACTTTTGGAGTTTCCACTAGATAATCTCACTGCCATGTTTCTTAGATTACAACTGCAACTGTATTTCACATTTATTTAATTGGCTATAAAACACTTTGAGATATCCAGTGGTCATGAAAAGGGCCATGGAGGTGCAAGTCACTTTTGAAAAAGAGGAGTGTCCAAGTGAATGAAGTGCAGGCTGAAGAATAAAATTAAGTTAAATGTTTAAATGAAATAAAATACTAGAGCACAATTAATGGAACAACAATACCCTGGAACACACCCTGTTTCTACAGAAACCTTTTCTGTAGGTCTGTGCCCAGTGTTTCATGAGCCTTTTATCAACATGAGCATCAGGGTTTCTGGAAATCAGTTTGACAAGCCTACTCCTGTTCCTATTTACAATGGTCTTATGGCCTATTTGGTGATTTACTTTATTTCTTAAGTTATTTTGGCTAGGAATGCTATTCTTGTTCTGTTCATAGATTAGGCTTTTTAAAACAAGAATTTGGAGTTTACCAGTAAGTGCATATTGTTGCGTATGACTGGTATCGTTGTATGGAAGGCAATAGGAAAGAGTAGGATAGATAAGTCAACTGAGCCAGACAGGATACACCCAAGGTTACTACAGGAAGCGAGGGAAGAAATTGCTGCCCTTTGGCAATGTTCTTTGCGTCCTCACTGTCCACTGGAGTAGTACCAGAAGATTGGAGAGTGGCAATGCTCATTCCCTTGTTCAAGAAAGGGAATAGCGATAATCCTGGGAATTACAAACTGGTCTATCCTACTTTTGTGGTGGGCAAATTATTGGAGAGGATTCTGAGATGGTATTTATGATTATTTGGAAAAGCACAGTTTGATTAGAAATAGTCAGCATGGCTTTGAGGGGCAGGTCATGCCTCACAAGCTTTATTGAATTCTTTTGAGGATGTGACAAAAGACATTGATGAATGCAGAGCAGTGGATGTGGTATATATTGATTTTAGTGAGGCACTTGATAAGGTTCCACATAGTAGGCTCATTCAGAAAGTAAGGAGGCGTGGGATTCAGGCGAATTTGGCTGTCTGGATACAAAACTGGCTGGCTGTCCAACAGAAGACAGAGGGTGGTAGAGGATGAAAGTACTTGGAATATTGTGTTCAGTTCTGGCCACCTCATTATAGCAAAGATGTGGAAGCTTTAGAGAGGGTGCAGAGGAGATTTACCAGGATGCTGCCTGGACTGGAGGGCAGGTCTTATGAGGAAAAGTTGAGGGAGCTAGGGTATTTTTCATTGGAGCGAAGAAGAATGAGAGGTGACTCCATGGAGGTGTACAGGATGATGAGAGGCAAAGATAGAGTGGATAGCCAGAGACTTTTTCCCAGGGCGGAAATGACTATTACAGGGGGGCATAATTTTAAGGTGTTTGGAGGAAGGTATAAGGAAGGTTATAGAGGAAGGTTCCTTACACACCGAGAATGGTGGGTGTGTGGAATGCGCTGCCGGCGGTGGTAGTGGAGTCAGATACTTTAGAGACTTTTAAGCAACTCTTGGATAGGCACATGGAGGATAGTAAAATGTAGGGTATGCAGGGTAGATTGATCTTAGTAGAATAATAGGTTGGCACAACATCGTGGGCCAAAGGGCCTGTACTGTGCTGTACTGTTCTATAAAACAAAAGGTACAAAATGCTCAAAAAGGAACTCCTCAAAAGGTCAGGCAGCATTCATGTATAGAGAGAAACGGAGGTAATGTTTCAGGTCATTGACAGTCCATCAGGACTGGAATTATTCATTGGTTTGAAGATCATTCTGTGCAATGGTCCTGTGAAGGCAGCAGGAGAGTGTGATTGTTCTAAATGGCTGTTGTAGAATGAAACACTGAAATGAAACTTTGTTTAATGCGTTGTCACATTCATTTCAATTTTGTAATAAAGTCAATCTGTTTTAGAGTTGGATTTGAGTTTCACCAGCTTGGTCTACGTTAGTGACTCTTGCAATGTTTATTTCTCTCAATGGCTACTCAAGGTACTGGTGATCTTCTGTTATCTGGGTGCCTGTTCTTTCTTACAGGATGTTTACGACAAAGTGGAATATCTGAGCTCACTGGGGAAGTCACAGACAGCGATTGTGCAGCGAGACGCAGAGATAGGAGTGGCAGAAGCTGAGAGAGATGCTGGAATACGGGTAACCATGATACACAAACTCTAAAACGTCTAGGAATTGTAAGCCATCAGAATCTGATCATGCCAGCAGTTATAACTGTGACTGGATGTGGAGACACACGGATGCATAACTTATTACTCCCATTTGTGAGAAAAGCCAAGAATCCACGCACTTTTGCACCTAACTGTGTTAGAAATCAGATTTGGTTTTTAGACAATAACCTGGATAGTCTCCTGCTGTAAATTTACCAAATGCAAAATGACTGAGCTCTGTGGCATTTTTGGAAAAGGGGAAATGTCCAGAATGTCGGAATGGGTTATAAACTGCTTCCAACAGTGTTTTTCCCTTGTGAACTCATTAAACCGGTTTCCACAAATCGCTTTTCACGATTTTAGTGGTGTCTGAATTTGTGTTAATGTTTCACCATCTTTTATAGGATTGAAGTTCAGTGTAAGCTGGGTTTCCCAGATACATCTGTGGCCACAGCTTTTCTGCCACTATTCCCTTTCCACATCACCTCCGATGTTGCTACAGCCAATCTGTAGTATCTTGGCAACTGTTACCTGTCAAACCTTTCTAATTAGAGATAGTAGGAACTGCAGATGCTGGAGAATCCGAGACAACAAGGTGCAGGGCTGGATGAACACAGCAGGCCAAGCAGCATCATAGGAGCAGAGAGGCCTGCTGTGTTCATC